TGGAGCAATGGACGACTCTGGTCGACTCGGCAGGGCCGACGCTGTCGTCACTCTCAAGCAGTGACGCCACGTCGATTCCTCGACGACCTCGACCCAAGAGCGCTAGCGTCCTCAAAACGCCGCTGCCTTTGGCGCTCTCTCTCGAGATCGAACGCGAACGGAAACATGCCATCGAGATTGCAGGATCCGTGCTCAAAGAAGCCCAGTACCAGCACCATAAGCGGCTCTGGCTGCGGTAATCGCAACAGAAAGGGTCCATGAGTTGAATCGCTCAGCGGGGTGCCCTGTGAATGGGATGTATCGGCGCAATACTGCCACAATGATGAAGCTATTTTTCGAGGCTCTGCTCGCTCAACATCAGCCTAATCAAGGAGGACGCAACCTTGCGGTGTCCGAGGAGCACGCGGTCCATGACGCCAGCCAGCGTTACATCGCAACGCCGTGAGTATATTACATCTCGACACCCCGCCCCATGGAATCAAGCGACGAAATCAAGCCCCGACCATCGTGGCGTCGATAAAACGTGCCCTTGATCGCGCAGAGATGCGCTGGTTATCACAACAAATTCAAACTGCGCTGGGCGATCTGTGCCTGGACAATCCATATTCGCATTACATGGAGCCGTCAAAGTCCACGGACCGACCAAACGAGAGAGGAAGCGTACACCAGACCAAGAGCAGCCCCGCTGCCCCCATCGTCATGCAAGCCATGGCTTGATAGTACTGTCGGTGGGGAAGCCAGAGCGACCGCTGCGTCACACTCCATAGAAAAAAGCCTGGGACCAGGTACGAGAGCCCGATGCCGCCGAGTGTGCCCATCGCTCGAAACAAGTTGCTCAGTGTCGGAGCCGTCAACGCGATCGCCCATGCCGAAAACACATACACCTACTCGGCACGGCGCACACGATGATGTCATGGTAGTGCTCCAGTCATGGCCCAACCTACCAGTGCCACGATGAGCCGCATGCGTGGCGCTGCCAAGAGAGCTGGAATCGTGAGTTGGAGTGTCTCAAAGAAAGGCTGGTACGTCATCGGAACTTTGAACAACATGCACATCGACAGCGCGATTCGAATGCCGGTGACGTTCCAATCGTCGTGGAGCCCCACGACGATATCTTGCGGGGGCGCGCCGTCAAAATACGAGAACCCAGCGAGCGACGCGACCATGTAGAGCGCAAATCCTGCAAAGAGCAGCGAGTGCTGAATGCGGCCGATGCTTGATTTGTCGACGAGCTCGCCGTAGGACCGCACGAAATTGAACGGACAAGAGAAGCCGAGCATGAGGAGCGGAACTGTGTACGCGACACCATCGAATGTGGCCCAACTCACCCACGTGTTGTTTTTCGATTGAGGAAGAAGGACGATTGTCGTGGAGGTGGAGCTAGCCGTCCGCGCTGTTAGCCACCGCTGGACGACATACCAAGCGAGGACTCCGGCAATGTAAAACGCTGCAAAGACGACGACTGCGTTGGTGTATCGAAGCGCATGCAGTGTTTTCGCCAAGCACAGCGGAATCGAGGCGAGGGCAAAGACCGATGCAATTGTCGATGGCCCCACGATAGCAAGGGCCTTCAGCGGAGTCAGCAGGTCGACTGCCAGCACCATGAAGAGCACAGCCGCCCCGAACAACGTCAACAATGTCAAGCCGCGCAGCACGGCAGCCATCCAACCGCCGCACAGCACTTGGACGAGCCCTTCGTAAGAGTACTCGCCCGTGACGTCGCACGCAACAGTCAAACATGTGAGCGCCGCATGCGCCAACACCACTGTGACAACGAGGAGGGCCACCCATAGCAGGATCGGCACGGAAGCCACTGTGCTTGGATAGGTCAAGATGCCAGCCCCGACCATGGCGCACAACGTCCCGGTGAAGGTCGAGAACGCTGTTCCATGGACGTCCAAGACATGGCCGGCATGGGACTTTGGCAACAGAGTCGATGCTTCGTTCACGGGAGACAGTGAAAACGCTGCCGAGATCTGACGAAGCGGCGACGGCATCTATCTGGCAGGGGATGATGACTCGGTGTGTGCTCAAGAACAAAAGCATTGGAACGGCCTGCCGTTTCGCCTCGAGTTGAGCCCGGAACGCCACCAACGATGTGCTTCGATCAGAAAGCACTTTGCAGCCACGAGTGGACAACGAGGTAGAGGTGTATGCAGTGCGTTATCCCGGGCGAAGCCAGAGATGCTTGTTGCTTTTTGTGGAGACGAGCTCGCAAGGTGCTATTCCCGAATGGTGTACATCGCACGACCCAACAAGAGAAACGACGTATTCAGTCGCCAGCGCACATGGGAATGGCATGACTACATTTCGTATCGAAGAGGGCTAGCTGTCTAGTAAAACCAAACCATCTTGATGATCGAGATGGTGGAGAGCGAGACTCCCGTGAAGATCATAAAGGCAGCGAGCACTTTGTACCATCGGATCTGCGTCGGCGTGTACTCTTGCTGGTGGTAGTCTTGTTCGAGCATTTCCCACAAAAACAAGCCTGGAAACCCAAACGAGAGCAAAATCCCCGCCGTCGCACCGACCCAGTCCATGACGTATCCCAGGTCGTTGGCAGTCACGGCCAGAATCCACGTCGCAATCAGGAACGACTAGTGAAAGGAACCAGTGAGCCATGACAACTCACAACGGCACGCAGTTGATTCGATTCCAGAGCCAAGCCATCCGACGCAACCGGGACAAACCCTTGCATCCTTTCGCGCACAACACAGCGTTCCAACAAGGCATCATTCAACCACACCCCATCTCTTGCAAAGGTGAAACGAGCACACATGTGATGCCCTACCGACGTCGCCGCGATGCGGAACGGCATCTTCGGAAACATGCCATCCGCCATGTCCTCCATGACATCGCGCAGGGGCTGGTACGTGATGGGAGTTTTGCAGATCATGCAGAGACCCAGTGCGATCCGAACGCCGTTGATAGTCGGGTTGTCGGCGGCAAACCCTGTCAAGATATCGGCCGGGGGAAACCTGCCATCGGACTTGGTCAACTCGATCGATGGACAACGGTCAAACAGCATGTGTACCCGTGGAAGCAAGCATAACCAGCCAGCGCCGCGGTCAAGTATAGCGCGACGCCCGAACCGAAGAGGAGGGCAAACACTTTGGTCATGGATGGCTTGTGCTGCAGCTCGCTGTAAACTTGCGGGATGTTGAGGTGCATGCAGTAACTCAGTGCTTGAATCGGCACGGTGTACGCGACGCCACGAAACGTAATGGGCGACACGGGTTCGGCCGGCCACGGGTTCTCCTGGGACACTGCTTGGAGCAAAAGGACGACGACAATGTAGAGCACGCAGCAGACTACGACCGAGTTGGTATACTTGAGAGCGGCGACGGTGTCGGGAAGACAGAGCGGGAGACAAATGCCGGCAAAGAGGCCACCGAGGACGAAGCGCGAGAGGAAAGGAAGGAACGGCTGCAGCATGTCGGTTGCAATCACAACGTACATAACAACTGCGCCAAAGAGGAGCATCATGACGAGCCCACGCACGATCCACAGTTGGAACGGATGACGCAGACGCTTGGCAAGGGATTCAAAGGACGTCGCACCGCTGCCGTCGCACGCAATGCAGATGCACACGCATCCTGCGTACGCGAGAAGAGCAAACGTGACCAAGAGCACCGACGACGGCAAGACCGGCGTCATTTGCATCGTACTGGGAAGAGTCAGGATGCATGCTCCCGCCATCGTGCTCATTAAACCCAGGTAGGACGTCACGACCGTGCCCTCCTGTGGCGCGACCGCTTCGTCGTCATGGAGCGGTGGGAACTCTGTGTAGAGAAGCGGCTTGGTTTCCGATGGAGTCGGCATGGTGCAGGGTCAACACAAGCCAAAATGGTGTGCTCCAACTTCCGATCGACGAATTCCCTTATTCGAGTCTATCATTATCCTCATGAATTCAATATTCCCAAGTGCCACAGCGTCTGGCGAACGGTAAGGGAGCCGTCGCAGCTGGTCGACCGCTGCGAGCCCATGAATGCCGTCGGCGCCATGGCCTAACGACTCGGCTATCCTGACGCCTTGATTGGTGGTGGAGATGCCATAAAATGCGGCTGATTTAAGGAGACTCTGTGTGTGCCCAGAGCACCTTTTATGAGCTCTCGGGCCAACCACAGGGCAGTGGAAGGGGATGTGTGAGTCGTAAAGAGTGCAGTAGAATGCATGAGGTTGAACGAATGTGCTGCCGGTGGTGCCGTCTGGGGCGGCTCTTGGTGGGGGACGTCACGGTGCCCGCAAGTTGCTATGGCGTTTGCTTCAATGTCTCTTTCGAACGACCTTGTCGCTCAGGCAACCCTGACAAAAGGTACACCAGGCAAGGTCCAAACAGTGTCCAGTTACAGCTTGGCTTCATGACATCCAAATATCACTCATTCCTGTCGACGCATATACTCCATCCGTTTGAACTTGTTTTTGGTGATAGGAAGGATGTTCCTGCATCCAACACCAACAAGCATGTCTCGACAGCACTGGCGATAAGTGCAGGGTCACCCACGAAAATGAATGGTTTTGTGAAATGAAACGAACGACTCAGCAGCATACGTGGAGCATGGACTCGACATAAAACACGTGAAGCTTTCACAAATGAGCACGCATCCTTCCGCCACAGAGTAGTGATGCGCGTGCCTGTGGTCGCAATGTCGTTGGTACACCGACACGGACACGAAAAATGCAGGTTGGAGAGTGGATATGAGGTTGAAAGAGGATTGGCTGAAAACTGTTTGAGGACAGGGATTGAGAGCTTCATTAGATCTCAAGTGTTTTCGCTCGATGCAAGCCATGAGATTCAGTTCCTGCGCAATAACTCGTATACTTCCCAAATCAAATCGCAAGCACGAAACAACAACTTTGACATGATGTGGACGATGATTCAATTGAAACAATTCGATGGAAGACTTCAGAGCAACAAACGATTTCCGGCATATGCACGTGCAGGATTAATGGCACGAAAAGAATGCTGTGCTCCTTGATACCCACTGTCGGCTAAAAAGGCCCACACGTCGGGAAAAGTGTCAAACAAGGGACAAGTGTCGTCCAATTGGAGCTCCGAAGGATTTTTGCCACGGAATGAACCGTGAAATCCATTGCACTGGTAAAAGAGGGTTTTGTCGTGGACAGAGCCTAGCACATGATGACTGACGTTTAAAGCATATCCCGACGGACTGACAGAGACCTCCACCTTTTTGCCATAAAGGTTGTACATGGACTCATTATAGTTTCCCATGGGCATGTTGCTCTGCTGGATTGTGGCGTCGGCAGGGTACAATGCAGCAGGAAAGCTTTGGAACGTCTTCCCAGTGGCAACAAGATTGCTCATTGTACGCAGCTTGGCTTCATCTTGAAAAAAAGTTTCGTAGACTTGGTCGTGAATTTTCAGCAAAAACCTCGTGACCATGTTTTCAAATGATGAAGCTTGAAGTCCAAACAGGGCAGCCAGGAACTCCCAAGTTCCTCCAGACTTCACGACAGTGAGCAGCATAAAGAGCATGTCTTTGCCAGAGTAGGGACATTTGCGTCCCTTGCCGACGTTCCATGTACCAAGAACGCTTGGTTTCATGGCGAACCAGAGCGATTCAAATTCGGCTTGAGAAAAATTCGTTATGGAGTGAATACTGTCGAATGCCGCAAAATTGTCGAAGACGGGATGAATTGAGTCACCATCGCCTTCATCATCGCGTGGGGCTGATGAGTGGCGATCACGCTCGTTCTGGCGTTTTGCATTGCGGCTTACGACAGCGAGTGTGGCTTGACGCACGAGCTGCATATCACGGCGTTGGTTTTGTTGCGTGGGGGTTTCGCGGGACGTTTTGGGTGGGTTCGAGGAGTTTCAATTGCAAATGAGGTTCCTTTGACATAACTTGTTCATAGCCTATTCCACAAGTGTACTTCGTAAAGACTTGGTTTTCGCCACTGCCATGAACAACGTGCCGAGAGGACGAGATCCAAATGGTAGATCAAGCTATGCCTTTTATGTCGATACTTGCACGAAGTTCGACTTATTTCCAAAATACATGCCGAGATATCAGTTGACAGGGAGGTTTTATTGAAATGCAAAGAAACACGTTTTTAGGTCTATTGGAGCAATTTAGCAAGCCGGGATTTTGAGTCAAATTCCAGACTTGACTTCGAGGACATGGACACGCACACTTCGACAGTTGCACTATGATTATCCGAAATCACACGGATAACGACAAAGCAAAATGTGCATCACACCCGCGGCGGGAGTCCTACT